TGCAATGTCATCATGCAGTATGTAGGAGATGACTGCTTTCAAGTGAGGCGGATTGAACCAGATCTGTCCTGGCAGGTCGATGTTGGTTTCAACTTCAACTCAAGACTTATGTCTTGTGGACTACGTCAGTCAAGATAGTCTCAGATCGCAATAGATGAGGATCGTGTCTTGCGGTGAAGTGTTATGCTACTGTCTGCCCAAAGGGGAAGTTTAAGTTCGTGACAAGACGCGGCACTGCAACGGCCCTTTTCCAACGTATTGTGATATTATACTCAGCAACCGGCATATGGTGAAGTAAGCAAGTGTGCTTCCCACTCATAGTTCACTGTCTTTCTAAGTATGCATGCGTCCACCCCTCATCCACTTCCACTCGACCTCAGACCACATAACTGACCGTGCACTGCTCTTCGGTTCCACCGCCCGCGCGTGCCTCAGACGAGCCGACACCGGTGTGAGCAGGGCCGAAATTAGTCCGTCTCAGTGTCACTAAAACGCTAATTAACAGCACCCCCGCAGCTCATACGAGTGGTGTAACTAACGCTTTAATTGCGGCCCGAGCTGAGGTGTGGCGCCATTTTGTAACTTCCTGGGCTAATTATGAGTGAGTGGCTTTTCCTGCTGCGAAAGTTTCTCGAGGTGTGTGAGGGATAAGCGTGGGCTGTTACAATTGATTTCTTGACATAGAATGAAACAAATTTTGTGGATGTGCTCTCGTGATGCAATGCATTTGTATTTCGTAACACATGAGTCGTACGTTCGCCACAGTTTCTGGTGGCAGTCCTTGGCAGACAGCATGTATCCTACTACAAGGTGGTATTCAGTATTTGATTCACTGACTAGGGATCTTTAGTCCATCGAATAACGCCCTGCCACAGATCAGGACCCCTCAGCCCGGCATCCGGTCATCCTTTCTGCAGTGCACACAAACAAATATTTCTGAGCTAAATCATCCCATGTGATCAGCGCTTTATCAACATTCTAAGCTGTTGATAAACTAGCCTCCAGTTCTTCGTAAACTTGCAAGGCTTTGGCTCATTACAAATGATCCTGATTGATGCTTATTAATGAGACATCTATCACAAGGGCGATTTAATTTTAGCTCGGATTTTGCGATAGTGTAACGGGCTGCTGTCATGGATTTTATGCGTTTAACACTTTGAACCTGGTTAATGGTTTAATTAGGTTTATTTGTTTATTTTTAGCATTGTCGTGTTGAGCTGCTTATTACACGTATCACATGAAAACGTCTAATTGCTAATTATTCAATATACATATAAGTTTTGACACGTCGCTCAAGCCACTGAAGTTATAAACAGCTACTTATCAGTATCAGCTTAATACCGAATGTTATAAAAAATAACTCCTCAATCCAATCTGAAATCAATAATGAATTGTCGACTATTCGTTCAGTTTCTCCACTGTCCACCCCGTCTATCCACTGTCCACCGTCCACCGTCCACAGCACCTCTCCACCTATCCACCTTACACCTCGCGGCAGGCCCACATCCCCCACAAGGCCAGCGGGAAACAGACCGGTCGCCACAGTGACTCCTAGAGAGCTGTTAGCCCAGAAACACCTGATGCAGTACGCTCTCTCACGTGACCTGGAGTATGAGCGTGGCCGTAGGCACTGGATGTTGTATACTGAGTCACGTGACTTTGGAGTCGGGGTGAACCCTCAAGGCGTTGGATGTTTTATACTGAGTTACGTGACCTATGCCCCCAAGCACTAGATGTTGTACAGTCTCTCACGTGACCTGACGTCCACGCTTGCCCCAGGCGTTGGATCCGAGCCCCCCCCCCCCCCCCCCCCTGTAGAGGCTCCTTACTGCCCCAATTGCACCCGTCTAGTGCAGGCGGGTTGGGGCTGGGTAGCTGGTAGTTGGTACGCCACTGGCACTCACTCATTAGGTGTCGCAACGGTGCTGGCTCGGAGGTGGTAAATGACGTAATGGGTGTTAGAATGATGGTAATTTCTCGGTGTAGTTTCATGGTCATGTGGTCGTCTTGGTTTATATGTAAATTACGCTTCATGGCTGGTTATAGCTGCTTCATTTGTTTGAATTGCCACACTTTGTTTTGACACACAATTTATAATGGATGTCAATGGTATGGATGACTGATATATCGAGAGATAACAATGGTCATCGGAAGCTCTACATTTCACCCGATTTTTCCGCAAATCTTAAATTCCAGAAGCCTGGACAAAATTAAAAACTCGTCCAAAAGTAGCATTTGAATGAAGATAAGAACTGTCTACATTTTCAGCATTTTCGTCCCTCCCTTTTACCAGCGTGCAGCCAATCAAAGATGGCCTCAGGTCTGATATCCCAACTAGCATCTCCCCAATCATCTTATTTCCCTACCCCTCTCGTCTGCGTCTTTATCCCATCATCCTTTTATATCCAACCTCTGTCTTCCCCTCCCTTCCTTGGCCTTCTTCTTGCTGAGTTAGGGCGCATGGCTCTCAAGCGTCCGACAATCCCTTCCTTGGGCCTACACAGCAGCTCCGCCCTCCTGATGTCCTATAGCTGTGTCTCTGTGTCTCTGTATTCACCGTCTTCCTGTCGCGACCACCGCTGTCTCTGTGGTCACCGTCTTCGTCTTCATCACTGTCTCTCTATGGTCACCGTCTCGGGCGCGTCTCTGCCGCCGCCACCATGTCTCTGTGGTCACATGTCTCTGTGGTCACCGTCTTGGCGTGGTCACTGTCTCTGGCGCGTCTCCGCCGCTACCGCTGTATCTGTGGTCATCGTGTTCGCCTCTATCACTGTCTCTCTATGGTCACCGTCTCTGGCGCGTCTCTGCCGCCGCCACGGTGTCTCTGTGGTCACCGTCTTCGCCTCCATCACTGTCTCACACTGTCACTGATAGTGCCAATTGATCGGTATTACCCGTTCACCGGCGATACAATCAACTGGGCGAAAAAACGCCAGTCGCTTGTCTGCCCCTGTTTGTCCGCCGAGCGGGCCCGCTCCAAAAACTGGTCTGATTAGCAGACTGCCTAAATGGGACTGCGGGTGGCCCCGCGTGGCCCGCTATGGTCCGGTGGTCCGACGAAGGCCGGGTGGCACTGCCGTTACAGACTGGTTAGAGGTGGTCTGTGGTCAGAAGGTGGTGTTCAGAGGCCCAAAGGTGCTGGTCGGTAGCCAAAGGTGCTGTTCTGCGGCCCAAAGGTAGCGCTGCACTGATCAAAGACCCAAAGGTGTTGCTTGTCAGTGGCACAACTGGTGCTAATCTGTCAACAGCTCGGAAGGTGCTGGTCGGCAGGGCAGATCAGACGCGCTGATCAGCGACCAAGGGCCAGCGTTCCAAAAATGCGTATCAATCAGAAGCTCAAACGTGCTTGTCGCTAAACTGGAAGATCTGAATGGTCAGCATGCTGGTGCCAAAATATTTTGCGTGAGTTTCAGAGCGCTGCGCAGTGACCTTTCCTCATGCTCGTATATGAAACCGTGAAAAGCTGTGGGGTATTAAAAAAGCGCAAAGCATTGGATATGCTTAGAATGAATACCAGCCGTAAATATCAGCATATTTGTAGCAATTTCATGCGGAGGTTTAACTACCGTGAACTGTATCCAAAAACAGTTTTTCACACGTTTACGCTTAGTTCATCTATTCGTCCTAAAACTAGCTTCCATGCCTACTGATTCGACATCATATAGCTAATCGTATAACTGTATACAGCGTGTAACTACACACACCAAGTGTGAAGTCGTTACGAGCCCGCGTTACGATGTGTGCCGAATGCCCAAGTAGGTCCACCACCGGATAAGGTGGGACCCGGTGCGGGCGGTGAGGCGTCGTGTCGCCTTCCCGGTCGCGCCGCTGTAATGATGCGAACATTTACATACATGATGAATGGGTCGGACGGAGAGCGTGTTTGTGTCGGCCGCCGCCCTTCTCTGACCGTGCCCTCTCGGCTAGCACTGTCCGGTGGGGACAGATGTGCTCTTTTGAAATGGACCGGGCTGAGGATAGAGATATTGGATGGGATTTGACTGTAAAAGGACAAAATGTGAGATGAATGAATGGGTGACATGTGATAAATGTCACCGCGGGTCGGACTCAACCTGAAGTCACGTTTTTCGCCAAGTGTAGAACCATCAGCTGCCTTTTTCAGCTTTGAAAACGAAACCATTGTCCGACACATCGATGAAAAAAAATCAAAACGAATGCTGCTTATCGCATTTTATGTCGTTGCTTTTGAATTATTTGCAAACTTTCTTCACCTCAATCATATATAACATGAATCATGTTATCTATGCCTGAATCTATTTTTTCTAGGATATTTTATTGCTTATCTCTTAAATTTCCTCAAAGTGTATAAAATGTTATAATGCTGCGTTTTTTCTCACCAACCCTAGCTCCCGTCTCAATGGCTAGTGCCCGAATGTCCAAAGTTTCACCCAAACTTCCTCCAACCTCCTCTCTACACTCAGTCGCGCTGCATCGTTTCTCGTCTGTCGCTGTCCCGACACCCATGTCCTTTTACGTCCGCGTCTCTTGACCTGTCAATACTGCCTGGGGTGAGACGGATGACCCAGTCGCCGACCCGGTAACTGCCGAGACATACGATTGGTGGTCCTCGGCCTGTGTGTCGGTCTCGGTAGAACGAGCCAGGGAGACAGCGACTCGTGTCGTATAGATCTTGCTGGTAGTAGTTAATTGGTTTTTGCTCTTGTAGAACACGGAAAATGCACTTTCCACCATAATGCCTTGAGAATGTGCAAAATGGAAATTTGATAGCAAATTGCAATATATTGATCGCGAAGCTTTGAAAGCGATTTGATTTTGTCGTGAAATGAGCTATGACAGATAAAGCATGATTTCGAAATGAGCTGCCCGATTGAGGAGCATTTTTCTTGCATACCATGATACTATACTGGCATAGAAAATAATAATTACCATTGACAGCACGCCCACAGGGCCAGTATGCAATACCTAATTGCCTGTGTCTGATTGGTATTGGGTACTAACTCTTTTTTATTTTGTTTCAGGTGAGTTCTGGGAGGAATGCTGCAGGCATGCTGACAGATCATAAAGGTAAGTGTGTCGTCTAGCTAAAACATCGAACACTTTATAAAGTGCATTTTGACTCGCAAAGTAAGTACAATGAAGAATGTATTCATCGTAAAAAATGAACAGCCAAGTCAAGTCGCCCCTCGCTTGATTGGTTTCACCACACCGCTACCTGCCGGTATAAAACTACACGTGTACACAACAAAATGTATTCGCAACACATGTAATTCCGACAACTAGTACACGTTTTTGCAATGTTTTTCTTCCCTAAATTCGTTTTCAACAGCGACTTAAGCTTGTTTACATGACAAGTTGGCTCGATAGAAAACCTTGTTTCTGCGTTCGAAATTCAACCGAGTGCTGCTTTACTCACCAATGGCGGATTCGCCGAGCGGACCAGTGTCCAGACGCTTCACTCTGAAACACATCCCCCTGTTCCTTTTTTCGAGCCACATCATGCGATAGCTACACAAATGCTTATCTTCTAATATCGGCTAATGCGAGCTGCCGCATGTCCTGCCGATTTGGCGACAGTCTGACATGCCACTGCTGGCTACATGAATCGCCTCATTGTCTTCTTTCTGCACTGTGACCGTCGAAGCACCGTTTAGGCCGCTGGTATTCGCCGAAACGCTTGTATTCGGGCGCAGAGGCCGCTTCTAGTAATTTATGGCACGTGTGTTGGAATGCAGCCCGGTGCTGTGCAAGGCTCAGTCGTTGGCCCGCTCGCCCGCCTGCCCGCTCGGTTTAGGTGGCCGGTTGGGTACGTTTTCCGGCAGCGCGTGCGCTGATTGATATCGAGCTCCATGTCTTAGCCGGGTGGGACGCGTTTGTCGCGCGCGCGTATCCTTTTTCCGCGACACGTGCACCGAAGACACGCAGCAGCGGCCTGCACGTTTTTACGCCGATTCTGACACGAACCTGGAATGACAGTGTGCCAAAGTTGGGCCGTTGCATGCATGAAGCGATTAAGATGTATTATCAGAATTTAATTGTATTCATAAGTGACATTAATGATTCTGTTCCAAATTGGATATTTTTATTTTTAGAACTGAGCTCGTGGGTACAAATATCATTTCTGCTTCCAATGTCTTGTGGCATGTTGGTATTTGTCGCTTCACCGACCATATGGAAGCGATGCCGTGAATGTACCAAAAAGTAACTGACGTTTTATTAGACCACCTACACGTAAATGCAGTAATTCCTCAAACCTGATGTTGGAGTATCTATCCGAGGTAGTCGGACGTTCAAAGTTGGTACCCCGATGCCACTAACCAGCACTCCGATGCTCCCATCCTGTTCTGTTATGTTTACATTCTGTATTCCAATGCCCACAGCTCTCGCCATTCGAAGCTCCCATCCTGTACTCCAACTCTCCCATTCCGTACTCCAACCATCCTACACATGCCCCGATGCTCCCAATGCTCGTCTCGTACTCCAACAATATTACCCTATACCTACTCCGACACTAACCATCCCGTACCCGGACACTCCAATCCCGTACCCCAATCCTCCCACTCCGTATCCAAACACTCCCATCCCGTACTCCATCACTCCCATCCCGTACCCGGACACTCCCATCCCGTATCCCAACACTCCCATCCCGTACTCCAACACACCCATCCCGTACCCCAACACTCCCATCCCGTACCCCAACACACCCATCCCGTACTCCAGCATTCCCATCCCGTACCCCAGCACTCCCATCCCGTACCCCGATGCTCCCATCCCGTACCCTGACATTTCCATCCCGTACACCGACACTTCCATCCCTTGCCCCAACACTCCCATCCTGACACTCCTACATACACTCCCATCCCGTAGGTACTCCAACACTACCATTCCTATACTCCACCACTCCCATCCCGTAATCTGACACTACCATCCCTATACTCCAACACTCCCATCCCGTAATCTGACACTACCATCCCTATACTCCAGCACTCCCATCCCTATACTCCAGCACTCCCATCCCGTACTCCAACACTCCCATCCCGTACTCCAACACTCCCATCCCGTACTCCAACACTCCCATCCCGCATCCATAATGCTCCCAGTGCCCGTCGCGGTCCGCTCCCCCACCTGTGAACTCGGCCGCTGTCTGTCGCTCAGCAGACCAGCACAGCCGCGGCCCGGTAGCCGAGCTTGCACGGACCATAAAGTAGCGTATGCGGTGCGTGACTTCCTCGCCAGCGTGCAGAAGCTAGCCGCAACTGAGACGCTCAGACACACAGTATCGGGTGGTTCTAGCTGGTGATCGAGGCAATTGGAACTGAAGACACGCCATGGTAATTATTGGCGCTTTATGGCAATGCTGGGTGCTCTCTGGAAATGCTGGGTGCTCTTTGGCAACGTTGTGTGCTCCGTGACAATCTCGGAAGCTTTTGGGCTTGCACTTCCTTGTGTGCACCAGGTAGAAGCAGAAACGGTAGCTTTTTTGAAATACACCGCTTGTTCGCTGCGACAGGCACTTTTTTACAGCTGTGTGGTACCTTTTTATATCTTCAGCTATTGGACTGTGGTTATTTTACTCGAATGCTTAGCAAAAAAAAAAAAAAATACTGAATAGTAAGCCGTATTCGTTGTTAACAGCAATTGTGTATCACGCACCTTCTGGTTCGTATTTCCCATCACAAACTTTCAGCGCGTGCAGAGGTGAGTGGATACATTGAAACTTTTCCTTTACCATTTCCACTCACCGCTCCTTTGTCACCGTGTACCCACGTGTCCACACGACCTGTACGACGAAGCCTGACCCCACCAACCAGTCTCGCTCCTTACGGTTGACCACCCAGCTGATAATTGTAAACGTTTCACAGCTTATAAACCGGCAGCGCTGATATGATCTCCACAGTGCGCTGGGTGGTGCGCACTACGCAGCCTTTTGACGCTAATTGGCAACGGCGAGTCACTATCTGATGTATAGGATTCCAAATTGTGGTAGAGTAAGAGGCAGACCGGATGGTGTTACCGGATGTGAGAAAGATGAGGTTTGCTTACTATCTGGAAAAGTAGCGACGATTATATAAAATGGATAAATATGGGCTGATATTGACATCCTGATGCGTATATTACTTAGTGCTGTTCATGATATGATGACACGTAGGCTAAAGCGGATGCGGTTAAAAAGACCGCCATTCGGACACATTCTATTTGTGAAAAAGCACGTCAGCTGTCGTGAGAGAATCCCTGTCACGGTATTCTGCGTCGCGAACTCACGGTGTGCTCGATTCGGTCGTACCCGTGTCCCGTGACGATTCGCTGCTCGATTCTACCGCGGTCGAAACCGTGCTCACATTCCATGCATTATAGACTCCGTAAGGTATGAAGCTACGCCTCGTCGGATTGTTGTGGCGTTATACGACAAACTGCTGTCGATAGGATGTTGTAAAAGGTGATGCGTGTTGCCTCTTCCACGGAACTATTGGCTTCCATAGTCGAGCAACGTCCGGGTTCTAACTTTAACCCTGTCCCCCAATGAGATCACGTGACCGAGAACATTATAAATGACCCGCTGGTGTCTGAGCACTGTCCTTCCCGCCATTGGCAGTCATAACAAGAGTATTATCACAGGGTCCACTGTCCAAATTAATACCCCATTACAAATTCCGTGCCGAAAAAAATCAGGTGTCTTAGCACACATACATCCACATATCTCCACCATATGTCGCCTAATTTTTGGCAGACGATTTCACTTGTGAACGTCCGCCACGCGAGCGGAATACTAACGATAAAGCTGCACGCCATCCTTTCAAGACTGCTGAGCTCGTTGTGAGCTATCAGGCACCCATTCACTCCGACATGTCAGCGTTCTCGCGCGATATCTCCGTGTTGTTGGCTCGCTTCTCCGGAGGAGGTGTTGTGTTGTACCCGGTCGCAGGCCAATCTCGGCCGGGTATTATGCGAGGTGTTGTTATACGCACGTCACGCACACAGCGCAAGGAGAGACGATAGGCAGGCGATGCGTCGAGGTGCAGCAGGGCCGGGCTGGGGTGTTTGCTGGTTGCAGACGGTTGAGCATCCTGCAATTCAGGCAGGACTCTCTAGCTGAAAGAGATATTTTGGCCGAAAATACAATGCAAAAGTTGGAGATGCTTATTGATATACCAATAAGATGATACCCGATTGACATTTCTAATATCTCTAATGTTACTGTGCTCTTGAACTGTAGGTATCATACTGGTCCTTGCTGATTCAACATGGCTGTGCCTTTTGCCGACCGTTCGTCTGTATCTTTTTTAGAAAAATTGTCTACGTCTGAACCATCTGTCCTGCACGCCAATACCAGCTATTTTCAAACGCTGACGAATCGGACCATCACAAATCACAAGACTGGAATGCCAATGACGCCTCCTATGGCCTGTGTCACGTGAGGTCGGAAAAACGTTCAAACACATGTAAATTCGGCGTAAACGTGATTGTAATTGAAATTGCTCATGAGTAATGCAGAATGAATCAATCTAAAATCAGTAGTAATGTGAGTAGGTATGTACTTGTGTGTATGTACTTGTGTGTATGTGCGATACTGATGTGTGCATGATGTGTGAACCAGATTTAACATCACCAGGGCCAACTGGCATTCGTGATTGTTGTAATACATGATACACATGATACATGATACAGGTCGCCAGTTATTGATGAATGTTCTGGCATGTTCACAGATGATGCTAGTGTTTACGCTGTTTGCGGTATATCGAGCATCGCAACATTATTCCTGAATAAATGACGTTGTCAGGTGGACAGTCATAAAAAGCTGAAAAGGGCAGTCGAAGCCTTCAGTCGACCTCAATTTTTCGAATGTCATTGTCGTGAAGTCATTCATACACGCTATGCAATACTGTAAAGATGAGTCACAACACGCTACGACAATTTAAGGACATGTCTTCCAAGCTCCCTGTTCATGGAATAGACACGGATACACTAAACCTCACGTCTCTCCAGTTCAATAGCTCGGAATGTATTTGCATGGCAGCCTCTGGCAAGATCTTTGTCACACTTGACACCACCTAATCATGCAAGAAAGACGGACAACTCGAATCACGCCGGACGGCGCAGTCATTTAAATCACCATAATCCTCTTCAACTGAATCGGGATGTGCATGCACAGTGCACACCGCTTGCAACGTTTGTCCCAAGAGTCCGGCTTCAGTATCTGTAATCGATACCTTGAGTTGGTTGACAGAGGGAATCACTTGACTGGCTTCCATGTTGTACTGACGCTCAGACAGCTGCTTCCTAAGAAGCCTGGGTTATCTTCGGGATAGACAGGTGGGGTCACATTGGGTGTCAGTCTGTCGGTCTGTCGGTCTGTTAGTCTGTGAATATGTCAGTTTGTCAACATGTTCGTGTGTCATTTTGTCTGCCAGTGTCACCTTCTTTGGACGGACGGGTCACATTGGGTGCATGCTAGAAGGTCAGTCAGTAAGTTGGTTTGTCGCCGTCCCAGTATCCGTTCCCATTCCAGTTTCAGCCAGCGTACCCGCTCCAGTTCCAGCTCTAGTCCCGTACCCCATTTCGGTCTCGGTTTCAGTTCCAGACCCCGTGCCAATGCCCACCCCTTTTCCAGTTTACGTTTTCGTTCCATTCCGGTCTCATCTGCCGCTCCAGTCTTCGTTCCAATTCCAACCCAACTCCCCGCATCCGTCCCAGTCTCAGCTCCCGTTCCACTCTTCGTTCCCGATGCCGATGCCGATCCCGTTCTCTAGCGCCGTAGGACGGGTGAACCGGGTGAGGTATGCTAATGACCGGCTCGAGCCAGACTCACGCCGGCGGCGCCTTGCATGTGCTATAGTGATGTACGAGGTGAGCAACGGGCGCCGCCGAGTCGCGGCTGAGGTCCGTAGAGCGGTGGTACGGTACGGGATGGTACGGGGTACAGACTACAGAGGTACACAGGATGGTACACGGGCGCCGCTGAGGCGGGCTGAGGTTCGCGGGGTAAGTGGATGGTACCGTCGAGGATAGGACGGAGTAGAGCGGTACACTGGATAGAACACGGTACAGCGATACACGGGTGCCGCCGAGGCGGAGTGAGGTCTGTGGCGCGAGCGGTGGATGGTACGGTACGGAATGGGATTGTGCGGAGTACAGCGGTACAGTGGAGAGTACACCGGGCGCCGCCGAGGCGGGCTTAGGTCCTTGGCGCGAGCGGTGGTACGGTACGTAATACGTATGGTACGGATAATACGGATAATATAATACTATGGTACACTGGACGGTACACCACAGTTCATAAATAGTTGACAATACATATAGTACACTCCGGGTGAGGGTACCTACATACCCGTAAGTAGTTGATGGTGTGCAGTGTATACTTACACTGGTGCAATTAACAGGACGGTAGATCTGTCACGTCAGGGTATGCACTGGATTATACTCTGATGTTTATTCTGGGTAGACGCCGCACCTTACGGTTCATTCATGACGGTAGTTGTACCTGATGGTACACGGGACGTTATACTAAGGCATTGCTGTGGAGTGTTTAATGTTTATGCATATAAATCGGGCGAAGCAGCACGCCATTAGGCGACAAAACAATGCACTGCAAGAAAATTGCAATTTGATTATAAACGCCGCATGCATACATTAATTAACTACGGCAAATGATTTGTTGCATTGTGTCCCTTATGCACCTGGGTAGACGGATTAATCACTGATTAGCTTGGCTGTGCCTTATCAGCATTGTCCATGTAGCATTATCTGCACTATCTGCTAATGTTTGTCAATTATTGAGGGTCATGCACAACAACGTGACCTCCCATGCAATTGCTGCCAAATAGCTTGTTAATGCAGCAAACTGTGCCGTCTTAAAACGTCTCGTTGCTCATGATTCCATCCACTTTTTGTCTTTTCAGGTCTGTATCAGATAAAAAAAAAATCACAAAAAAATCACAAGAATGGGTACCGACAAAAAAGTATCAAAATCAATGACAAAAACACGTGCCAGTTCAACTTAATTTTAATTTAAATGCATCGGGCGAAAAAAAATTCCTATCGTTATTTGCACCGAAATACTAAATACAAATCTCCAGAACAGCAGCAACAGAATGTCCTCGATTGTGGGTGGCGCATTCGGCAGCGGCCGCGGCATATTCGCCGCACCCACCGCCCGTGCCGCCTGTGCCGTAATAATGCATCCTCGGTTATTACATGGCCAATAATGATGACAAGTAATGGCTCAGAGCACCATTTCATTTGCGTCGCTGCCTTAGATGATGATGCGCATGCATATCGAATGGATTGCGTGCTACTCTGATTGGTCCTGTGCCTTTATTTGATTGGGGCAAATCGGTTTCCGATTTCTTTTGTCCTGACGATACGATGGATATCCATTTTCAGTCGTTGTATGCGAATTAGCGGATGATAATGTAGGCCATAGATGTCTTATTTTTGTAGGAATTACTAGTTTCGGTAAATGGGTTGCTACTGTCGTGAATGTAACATGAATCTGTTTTTGGGCATTCATCGCTATTTTTCAGCAACTTCTGATCACTCTGGGTGGTCCGCTCATGAGAAAGCCATCTAGACGCATTTAGTTCTGCGTCTGATATGGTTCCTTACATCTCTTTCTGCCCTATGGCCAGTGATTTTATTTATTTATTTTTGCATCAGCCTCAACTCCAAAACTAGCGGACACTGTCGATGTAAGACACAGCTATTGTTCCGCTACTCTTTTTTCCGCTTTTCCTTTTGTGAAAAGCCGCCAATGGCCGTGGAAAATTATGCAGCCCGGGAATTCGACCACACGGGTATTGCGTGGGTTGACCGTGACATGACCTTGTAACCCGATTGAGGCACCCCATATTCCATATATCACCGAAAAAGAAGCTATACCACCTTGCGAAGTTACAAGGTAGCATACATTACGAATATTTAATTATTCATGAAAGGAACTCGCGAAGTGTTCATGTGCTCATCAAATGCACTATACATACCAGTCCTGAGGTTTTTGCGTTTTCTATGCGTATCATTTTTGCGCTGCGCTATGCAGGCGGACGCTTGGCTGCCACATTTTAACACGCACAACTACTGTATTAGGTGCTGGAAATCAGGCTCCAAAAAGATCCGATTATTCCCTTATGAGTTGACATAAGTCACAGCCCCAGCCCGTTGCTCGGCCCGTTCATTTCGACATCTCTGTCGCCTGGGGACCCGCCTTGCAATCGGCCCGCTCGGGGTCAACTGGGGGATATTTGCCTAATTCCCCCGTTTGTATGTACCGCTCGCCTCAGGAAGCGGCCCTGCCTGCCTACTGAGGTGCCCTCGGTGCACGGCGGTGCACAGTGCACAGATCACTAGACGGGTGTGGTCGATGGGCTAAGAGCAGTGGGTGGAGCGAGGTGGTTGGATCACACCCTTGATATGATCTCGGCGCTGCCGCTGATCGCAATGGAGGGTCTCCTTGATCTGCCGACATGGGTTACTCGTGATTCGTAATTTCGTGGCATAACAAATTCACGCTTTGGTAGATCTATTCTACAGATCTTCCAAAGCGCGATGGTTTTGTATGTATAAAAATCTGGAAGGTCTACATGTAACAGTCCGGTCTCGTTGCCAGTAAATCGGCGGCTCCAATGCAGCTGCCGGCGGTCTGTCGGTCGTTATAAGAGAGCCCATTTTTCATAGTGCACTTAATATGGCGCTGGGGCGATGGCGGCGCGGCCCGGCTGCATACAGTGCTCGACTGATTGGGCTTGATTGTGCTGTCAGAGACGCCGATCGAACACACCCTCAGTTGAGGCGGGTGATTGCGGTCAGTGCCGATCGCTCCCTCAGCACGCCCTCAACTGTTCGGAGGAGTTATCTCGAGCCGCGAACAGTTCAAACAATGGCGGCCGTGAACGGAATCCGGCTGTCTCTTTTGATAACCGCAGGCTGCTTGAAATAGACAAACACTATTCGTTAGAGTTGTGTTTTCTATTAAAAAAAAAAAAAAACATTCGGAGCAGTTCCAGTATTGTTGATGCTGAAGGCGTTGTACGGACGTCTGGAATTGTCTTGACTTTGAATTTATTCTGGAGCGGAAGATAAGTCATAGGTGGGTACATTCCCGAGTGCATACGTGAAGACGGCGTGCAACTATCATCCTATGAGAACCCTGCATTCTTGTGAATATCTGTGCTTACCTGAACTTCTTTTTCCTCTGTGATTGATTGAAAACGAACTACGGCTTTGACTGACATTGAGCAGCATCGAATAAAAAACTCGCGCGACTTTGTTGGCGCGTTCTTGCGGTCGCGGTTTTCGGAGACGCGCCATATATGTCACTTTGCGGCAAATATCGGCGCCGAGCTGCGGGAGGTCGAGCTCTGAAGCGCAGAACCACAAACCAGTGGCTCCAACCGGGGACCGGTCATGTCATCGCATCACCGATTGATGCTGTAATAGGAGTGCTTTCTCAGAGGTACGCCCACAGGTAACCACATGAGCATTATCAACTCTCCAAATCCGTGAGTTTTCATTCGCATCGGATGCGAAACAGGTATTTGTAGTTTATAGGGCCTTGATGGGATGTGACTACGGGCACTGGACGATTCGAGACGAGGCATGAGAGGTGTGAGATATGCTTTATAGGCAGATATGCTACTGCTTTTTGCTGTCAATGCTGCAAAT